TCATCACTGAGCAATCCGAACTTGCGACAGGGGAAGCAAACACAGACATCACAACACGTACCTTTACGGAGCTTTTACGGCAGATCGTCTCACCGTAGCTGTCAATTAGATCAAAAGACGTGTTGAATGGCATTGAAATGGAAAAAAAAAAAATACAACTGTTGATCCATAGGTTAATAATGTATCTGTGCCTTTGAAAAAATTATTTATAATCCATAATTCAATTTTTATGTAAAAATCGGAGCGGAAAAGTTAGCTGCTAATGGTAGCCACCAGAGTGTATGCAGCTTCCGGTTTTGGTAACGCGTCACTCTCACTCCTTATTTGTTAATGTGTTGATGTGTATATAACTTTCCCTCGATTCCATTGGCTCTAGCGGTTATAAAGAGATTTCATTCATCAAAATCTCTCTATAAAGGTCAAATTTCACTTGTTTTGCATCAATCTTGATACAGGGTACTTATTATATGTTGTTCTTTGGATTCCTAAAGCTTTTAGTCTACTAACCCATCATCCAAGGGTAGTTTTCACTATAAGTAAAAAAGAATTTTTGGACGGACACTATAATTTACAGTTTAAAATCTGTAAAATCTGAATTTTCTTTAAAATAAAAAACATCTATATTGATTCTGACTTTTCTACATCCAACTCACAGGTTTATCATTACTTTGAGAATAAAGATTATTAGTTTAACCCTTTTAGAAGAGAAGATATGGTCATTTGTTCTGGGAATGTCATTTTTGAGCCCGAGACCTGAAAAACAGGCTCAGTGCTTAACAGGTTAAATGTTTGATATTTCCGGCACAGACCCTTTCATACCGGCAATGCGCGATAGAAACAACAGGAACTGCGACAGCATAAATATGCAAACACCAACCTACAGTTAAACGTTACTGCTGGAGAAGAGAGATCACAGGGGGGTTGGGAGAGCTGTGGCTGATTGGTCATTAGGTGTGCAAACAAAGAGAGTCACACACAGCCCCCGCTGATCAGCTGATCACCTGAGAGCTGCAGAGTTTCATTCAGAATATTTAAAAAAACAATGGTCTAATTTTATCATTGCACAACAATGAACTCAATGTGTGATTGTTATAGCAGTAATAATACAGTAAACTATTAACAATAGTATAATATTATAGTAAATAATCTTGTGAATGCAGAATATGATTATATCCGTGACAGTGGGAATAAAAAACGATATGCTACAGTATAGTAATAAAAGATAAATCCCACTTATTGTAGCATATCTAAATAAATATGTGTGTCCCGGGCCATAAATGTAACGTATGCTGTCAGTTTTCAGATAAAGCCACGGCATCACAATTCTTCTGTATTCTACAATATAGTTATTTTCACCTCCCGTATTGCTTTTTCAACCCACCAGCTTTTATGGAGAAAATAAGTTATATAATTATTAACCAGAGGCATGTTTCTCACCATTTTATGCATAGAAACAACAGGCTACTGTGTGTGTGAGGAATCAGCTGTTTATTTCATATGAGTTCACCTCAGAGCTGCCGTTTTCATTCAGACTATTTAAAAAAACAACGGTCTGATTTTAACATTGCACAACAATGAACTCAATGTGTGATTGTTATAGCAGTAATATTAAACACTAATAATACAGTAAACTATTAACACTGTACATATTCTTGTTTGCCCGTGGGGTGATGGCGAGGCTCCATTAAAAATTAACCTATTTTTAGTGAATTACTGAGTTTAGGCACGTTAATAACGTTTTAATTAAGTTGACTTAAGTAAAACTGGGCCTGAAACTGATTCAGGGATGTTAAAGTAAGTGCTGTAAATCCACACCAACCAACCAAAAAAAACATCTTGCAAATCTTGTCTGGAGACAACTGTGGAAAGACTGAAGTGCTGGAACAGATCTTTATGAACTGTTGAATACCAGTCAGAAGAGTTTACAGCAGAAGGCTGGCAATGAACACATGGCTTTCAGTTGGGTTAACCATAGTTAACCCAACTGAAAGCCATGTGTTCATGCCATCCAGTTCATTTTATCAACTTTTTCAACCTGTTCCAGGACTGCAGACATATTTTTAAAGCAGAACATTTGCAATAAAATGTGTCATGTCAAAACCATTTCAATTCCTCCGTCATCCAACTGGTTCCTCTGCCAAGGACAAAAGGAATCGAAACAGGAGGAAAATATACATCAGAGGGCAGAAACCACCTCAGCCCCCACCTATGGAGAGTTTTGATCATTGGAGGCATCAGAGTCGAGAGGAAGAGTCTCCACCTTCCTTTACCCCGCTCAGCAATGCTTCTGACCACACTGAAAACATTGAAACTGTGATTTCAATTAAATGTATTATGTCAACAAATTTCACATCACTGTATTAAAGGTCCCATGTCATGCTTTTCCGGTTATTACCCGTCCCCTTGTGTGTTATGAAGGTTTTTATGCATGTAAACGGTCTGCAGAGTCACAAACTCAAAGTACACCCTGTAGCGAGTAAAACTCTAACACAGAAAAAACCTGTCTATGCTGCCCCAGAACTCCTCGTTGGAGATTTCTCTTATTCTTCCTGGGTACAGTGACGTGCCCATACCCAAATGGACCCATTGGTCCAGATGGACCAATCCGTGGAGCCATTACGTTACGTCCACGGAGCCGTTACGTTAAGTCCGTGGATTGGTCCAAATTGACCAATCCGCAGACTTCCTCACACTCGATCTTTTCTCAGCTGCAGCTCCGCCGATTTCTCCTCCCTGAGACGGCGGGACGCGGCGAGGCTGTGAGTCGGTGTGTGAGCACACACACAAACTCCCAGCCAGGCTGCGAGTCGGTGTGTGAGCACACACACAAACTCCCAGCCAGGCTGCGGGTGTGTGTGTGTGTTCGGGCTGGATTTCGCTGTGTCTCGCTGTCGGCCACTGGGCTCACAGGGAATGGGGGGGGGGGGGGTGGCAGGAGCTCCAACAAGCCGTTTAGGACAGAGAGTGAATACACATACTATACAGAGATGCTGTATGAGAAACCAATGCGATTTTGGAAAATTGCACATTATAAATCTATTTTAGTATACCTCAACAATGGAATTATGATCAGTAGAAATGGCCATGACATGGGACCTTTAACCCTTTAACGAGTGACCGGACCCTACACTCTTCCATAAGTGGGTCAATAAGGACCCGTATTAGAATAATATGTGTTTTTATGCAATTTTTTACATTTTGGTTAAGAAAAATCACTTTAGTATTATATTTTGGTTCACACTAGAAATATTTTATATTTAATTTGTCACTATTTATAATTTAAGACATTTTTTTTACATTTTGAAAAAAACCGTTTTGAACATATTGATGCAAAGATCTCTGCTATTATGAGACCCTCACAGTATTCCAGTCCCTTTTCAAAACTCATCTCTTCTCCTCTTGCATACTCATAGCCCACCCCCCATCAATCCATGCCGGTTGATCAAGTTTGATAGTCCTATACCCCCCACCCTAACCTTCCCTTATATTGTAAAGCGATTTTGAGTGCTTGAAAAGCCCTATACAAATATAATGTATTATTTAGTGGGAATGCTGATACAGCATTCCAACTATATGTTAAAATTATTATTATTCCGCCGGAATTTTGCACCTCTTCTCCTCCTGCATTCAACATCGCAGAAACTCCGTTCAAACATCAAAACGTTCAGCTCGGTCGGGAATCGATGGCTATTACTTTTATCATTCATAACTTTCATAATTCCAGAGATACATCCCATAATTCATCACATTTTTAACCATTGAAGTCAATGGAGAAAATCTTCAGACTTGAACAATCTTCATGCGACTTCAACTGCTAACTGTTCATTCATACTTTCACTCAGAAACCTCATTCCAACTTTAAAATGTTACACATCTTTCTGACATTATTCGTGTAACACAACTTTTAAATCTGATTCTTACTTTTAGAGATATTAAACATTGTTCAGACCTTGGTAAAGAGGCTTTCTTCAGATTTTAACATTAAAGGGGACCTATCATGCAAAATGCACTTTTGTACGTCTTTTATACATGAATATGTGTCCCCGGTGTTCCAGGGAACTCACCAAGTGTCAGAAAACACAACCCTCTCTATTTTCCTCCATACCCAAATCTCTAAAAAAGGGGCTGCAACAGATCTGATAAAAACTGATCCAGATTTGAACACTTTCCTGACGTCAGGACAGTGGCGCTACGGCTATTGGGCCAACTCCACCAATCAGGAGGAGACAACCACGGCATTGCCGTTCGAAAGCGCTGGAGACGTTGTAGTACATATGCCAGGCCTCTAGATGGTGCTGTTGCTCACAGAATCAACCCTTGCTAAAACAGATCTAAAAAATGTCAAATTGAGCAAAATGAGGCATGGCTAAAATGCATGATCTGTTTGGTATTTTGAAAAAAAAAAAGTATAAATATGCCTTATATAGGTATGGTCCTACACTATATTATTCAAATATAGCATGATAGGTCCACTTTAACTAGAGTGCGTGATGTCACAGCTAGAGGGTAGGAAATCTTGAAATTTGCCTTCATATTTTTTTTTAAACTGCCATAATTCCCAAACCCTACATTCCTGAGTCATCATTTTTCATGACAAACGTAGGAAAACATCTCGTAGCTTGAAAAATGACAAATAATTAAGCAAAATAATTAAACAAAATGCCTCGAGGACATGAAGTGACAAAAACGTTCAACATGTCTCCATTAAAACCCATTGTAATTTCAGGCTGATATTTCCTCACAGCAGCAGCCGCACACCTTTAGTTAAACTGCCAAAAAGGCCACATTATTAACCCGAAAGTACACAAAAATTACACTTCAGATACTCAACTTCCTTGACATGCTTCACGTTTTGAAATTTCACAGATATCTGTTATGGTTCTTCCACAAAACGTTCACATGTAAGAGGTTTATCTCTCATTCAGCCCTGCATATAACGTTGTACTGTCCCCCTTTTTCTAATGTTTCGTCGTTGTGGCTTTGTGTATGTGCCGGTGCAGAGCTGAGGAAGGCCGAGGAGTGTACGAGCGAGGAGGCGTGGCAGGAAGAAGAGTCGAGCTCAGAGCTGGAGGAAGGAGAGGAGCACAGACAGAACAGTGAAGCTGAGGAGGAGGAGGAGGGAGAGCACACACAGAACAACACCCACAACCACATGCAGGTACACCTTTGTGTGTGAGTGTGTGTGTGTGTGTGAGGACATTGCATTGTGTTTGTTACTTTCATTGCAGTTGTATGTCTTAAGTGTAATTTGGCTTGGCTTCCTATTTTGTATGGACATGCTTTTATTTTGAAGGAGAGTTAGCGCTGTTGACAGGAAGTTGTTGTTGCTATGGAAACAACGTGACAGAGATTAACGGAGAAAAGCCATATCTACATATATAGACGGAGAAAGTAAACAATAACGTTTATGGTTAAGTGTTAGCACCCCCCAAAGAGGCACAAGCTCTTACGTTGGTATTGGAGATTTCAATCAATTCAATTTGGCAGCCGCAGTGCAGCGCAATCTAAATCTACTAGAATAGATTTAGATTGTTCAATGTTCCAAAATGACATTGGTTTCTCATACAGCATCTCTGTATAGTATGTGTATTCACTCTCTGTCCTAAACGGCTCCCTATGAGCCCACTGTGCACAGTTTCGCCGCTGAGAGAGTGTGTGTGTGTGAGGAGCTCCACGGATTGGTCCATTTGGACCAATTGGTCCATTGGGTCGTCGTTACGTCACTTGGTTCCCGGAAGAAAAAAACGAGGCGTATGTGTAATTCGTGGCACAATTCAAACGGGATCGAAAGATAATCTTTCTCTCCCATCTTCACTTCAATACATAATTTTTCCGAAATAAGGTCCCATGGGTCGGAAGTAGATAGGCGGGACTTCGCCTCTCTATAGAAATGTTTAGATGAATTTAGGAACTTCCCCTCGATTCTATTGACTCGAACGGTTCAAAAGAGGTGTCAATCATCAAAATCGACCGAGGGGGGCCAGAGATATGGCAAATCCACCCACATGACCACAGAAGTGTTTTTTTTTTTTCTAAACCTCTCTAAAAAGGTCAAATGTCACTTGTTTTGCATCAATCTTGATACAGGGTACTTATTATATGTTATAGTTTGGATTCCTAAAGCTTTTAGTCTACAATCCCATCATTCAAGGGTAGTTTTCACTATAAGTAATGTTTTTCTTTTGGACGGACACTATAATTTACATTTTTTCACTATGTTCAATCTGAATTTACTTTAAAAAAATAAATAATCTATATTGATTCTGACTTTTCTACATCCAACTCACAGGTTTATCATTGCTTTGAGAAAAAATATTTAATTTACCCCTTTTAGAAATGAAGTTATAGTCATTTGTTCTGGGAATGTCATTTTCGAGCCTGAGACCGGTTAATTGAACAAAAACTTAAAAGTTTATATTTTTCCAGTTTTCCAATGTTTGACTTTTGGTCGGACAAACAAGCATAGTTCAGCTAAAACATGTTGACTATTGGATTTTTGTTCAGTGCATTTTCTGATAATATATTATAGAGGACATATTATGCTTAGTGTTCAAAAAAGCCACCCTCTGTCTGAAACCAGAGCCCAGTCTGCCCTGATTGGTTAGCTGCATTCCTCATTTCAGGTATTCAATTATACAACTCGAAGTGAGACTTCTTCAGTTTCATGTTAACCAGGGTTGGAAGGGTAACTTTAAAAGTGTATTCTGTCGTTTTGATGTTGAATTATACTGTATTTATTAGTTCACCATTGTGGCTATGTTCAGTCTCATAAGGTAACTAAGATCTGTCTGTCTGTCTCTTAAAATGCTAGCAGACAGCAAGCGGATGCTGTTACCCTCAACCTCACCCTTGACAACACAACTCTAACCCCCTCTCCTCACATTCGCAACCTTGGAGTAATCTTTGACAGCCAGCTCAAATTCGATAAACACACAAACCATATCACCAGGACTGCCTTCTTCCATCTAAAAAACATTGCCCGCCTCCGCCCCTCACTCTCCTTCCCGGCTGCTGAAACCCTCATCCACGCATTCATCACTTCAAGACTGGACTACTGCAACAGCATCCTGTATGGTTCATCATCCAAAAGTCTAAATAAACTACAATATACCCAGAACTGCGCTGCCCGCCTCCTCACTCACACCCGCTCCAGAGACCACATCACCCCCGTCCTTCAAAACCTGCACTGGCTCTCTGTCCGTCAACTAATAAACTTCAAAATCCTTCTGCTAACACACAAAGTTCTCAATAACCAGCCCCCCCCCCTACCTCACCGACCTGATCCACCACTACACCCCTTCCCGCAGCCTTCGTTCATCAGAAGCGAACCTCCTCTCTATCCCCACAGGAACCAAGCTCCGAACCTGGGGGGACAGAGCCTTCTCCATCGCTGCCCCCACCCTCTGGAACTCCCTTCCACAACACATCAGAGACTGCACCGATCCCCCCACTTTCAAAACACTGACCAAAACACACCTCTTCAGACTGGCTTTTAATTTGTGAATTATGTTGTGTTGCTGTTTTAATATTTTTTATTCTATTTCATCTCGTTTTATCACCACTGTAAAGCGTATTTGAGCACCTGAAAAAAGCGCTTTGAAATGAAATGTATTATTATTATTACAGCTGGTAATAAATCGGTGTTCTGTTTCTGAATCAGCAGCATCAGAGTGCAACAAAATAGCAGGATGCTTCTGATCCTACACCACATGCTGCTCTTCCTCCTGTAAACGTAGCTAAGTGAAGAGAGGCCCTGAGCTCAGCTGCCGAGTCAGAAATCGCTCATATTGTTGATGCTATGGGCCTATGCAATGGGAGTTATTAGTGGTTATCGCGACCATTCTTTGCATCAAAAGTACCAGAATGTATCTACTATTTAATAAAGTTAAGGTGAAACTTAAAAAAACATCACACAAATCTTAAAGTAACCAAACATGTTGAGCACTATTTGTCTGAAAGAAACTTTTTAATGATACAATAAGGAGAATTTGAATGAAGAAAAAACGTAGACTCATCCTCTCAATCACCACTGATGACCCAGTAGAAGTGATTTTATCTGGATCTGCAGAGACCCTGCTTCCCTCTTCCTGTATTTTCCAATTTCGCTGTGTACAGACGGTTTCTTCTTGTCAACCTCTATAAAAAAAGTTGCGACCAGGCACTAGCTCGTAAACTTGCAATGTTGTATTTTGGAGATTGATGTTTATAAATGGGTAGATTCAGGAACGAGTGGATTCTTATGAGTTTATTGAAAAATAACCAAAGACTACTATCAAATATTCTATGAGTTTTATTCTTAAAATAATGAAAACCTGGGCCAGTCTCCGAACGACAGGACCAAAGATGTGAACGTGCTTTCTCCTTTTTAAAGTGCAACAGTTCTAACCCCTGCTGTTCCATCTTCAAACTGTAATCCCAATGTTTTGACAACTTGTACTATTTTTAGACTTTCTCCCCTATGTTGGCTGGATTTTCTACTGACTTCAGTGTTTTCTAATGGGGCCGAATGCCCTCAGGCTGCTCCTATCTCCTACGACAGGGCTTCTCAAACTCCGGACCAAGGTCCGGATCCGGACCGAACTGCAAATCAATCCGGACCGAACCCTGTGACCCATTATAAAAAATAATAATTATACAAAATAAAAAAATAAAAACGTTCTGATTCTGATGTAAATTAATGTATATTTTCTTGTTTCTGACGCGTTGTGAGAATGAACGTGCATATATATTTACTTGTGTGCGCGAGTGTGACACGCATTGCAGACCGCAAGTCTGCAAGTTTACCTTGACTTTCTAAAGCTTCCAACCCCTTTTTTGCCGAGGTTCAAGGCATTGTCTACAGACAAATAGTGCCATTTCTCCCACTAGTTCAAGCCACCATACTGTATGTATGTATTGAATGTGTGTGTGTATACAGGGGTGCCGTTTTGCCGAGAGGCAAGGCATGCAAGTGCTTGGACCAGAAGGGGGGCCCCAAAGAAGGTAGATTAAGAAGGTCCACAGCAACGACAACATGAAAAACTCTTTAATTTACTGCAACGACATGTCGCATAGCGCGCCGTAAGAAACTGCTTCTTAATTTCAGTTTCGTTGCTCCACTCCGCTCCGGGGTTGAAGCTATCAGCCTTCAACCATGGGCCTTCAGTCCTTGCATGAACACACACACACACACACACACACACACACACACACACACACACACACACACACACACACACACACACACACACACACACACACACACACACACACACACACACACACACACACACACACACACACACACACACACACACACACACACACACACACACACACACACCTCCCTACTCCTACTACTCAAGCAGGCCTTGGCAGCTGGGCCCACAACTTTCTTACATATGAAGTTACACACACACATATCTGATTGTTAAGGGAAATTCTACTCCAACATGTGGAGTAGAATTTCTCAGCACAGCTCTAAGTTCCCCGCAGAGGTGTGGACTCGAGTCACATGACTTGGACTCGAGTCAGACTTGAGTTACCAATTTGATGACTTTGGACTCGACTTGACAAAATCACAAAACACTCGGGACTTGACTTGGACTTGAGCCTTCTGACTTGAGGTGACTTCATACTTTAATTGAGGGGTCTCCAACACGTCGATCGCGAGCTACCGGCAGAAGAGCCCGTCGGGGAGAGCTGAATCGCTCCTACTCTTGCTGGGCCACCATGCGGCCAATCATATGCGAGGACACACTAGGATCGTACCATTATGTGAAAGAAGGGTGGGGAGCAGACACTCCAAAGACAGCAGGTGTAGTGGTATAGGCCAGCTACATAGAGCGTCAGAGAGACGGGGAGCCGGATTTAAATGCAAGCGCGTCGGAAAAAGTCAGGAAATGAGCCAAAACCGAACAAATAAGCAGCATCTGGCTGCATTTCAATGATATTGGAGGAAGCAAAGCTGAGTGCAGGATTTGTCAAATGAAAATAACCTTCAGAGCAGGGTTTTTTTTTTGGTAACCACTCAGGATTTATTGCCAGAGGTGGGAGAAGTTCAGATCTTGTACTTGAGTAAAAGTACCAGAGTGTAGGAATACTCGGTTACAATAAAAAGTCCTGCATTCAAAATGTTACTCAAGTAAAAGTACAAAAGTATTAGCATCAAAA